ACAGGAAAGGCGGCGGGAGCCTATCCCCTGCTGCGGTGCCAAGCGGGTGGAGAGGTGCAGGAGAGCTCCCTCTGACCAGCTGGCCTCCGCCTCCCCGGGGTTTGGTAACCCCACCACAACTGCACAGCCAACAACACAGGGCAAGCACAGCCTGTGCTAGAACACCTAACAGTAGGGTAAGTGTTACCCTGTGAGTGGCAATCATTAGGCTCCAGCGTTTACAGCTTCTCAAAGGGGAATGGGCATTTGCTGTGGCTGGAAGTAGGGGATGACAGCACTGCTTGGACCTCATGAGACCCTGACAGAATCCAGACTGGGTTTAGGGAATGATTTTTCTGTGGGAAGCTCTGGCGTGGGAGCAGGCTTTTGCTTCAGCCGCGCCGCTTCCTGCCAGGTCTCCCCCTGCCCCGTGGGCTGGCACAGACCCCGCTGAGGAAGAGGAGGCTGCACTGCCTGTCTCACCCGGGTGGTGGTGGGGGAACAGGACATGGAGAGGGACAGTGGTCTGTGGTCACATCCTTTCCTCTGTGCAGGTGGCAGGGCATCACCCCCTGCCTCCGTTTTCCTCTCTGGATGGGCTGCTGGGTTCAGATGCCCTTTCCTCTCTCCCCATGGCACAGGGACCCTGCTGGGGGCTGCCTTCCCTCTGATGCTTGCTGCGCAGCATGTGCGGGCCCCTCAGCCGTGCCCCCCTGCCGGGGCTCACCCATCACCTGGTCCTCGCATCACCCCTCGTCTGCAACCCGCTGCCTGCAGACGCCTCTGGCACCCGAGGGCTGGCAATCCAGGCGCCACTGCCCTGCTCACACTGGGGCTGGCAGGGCATGGGCGACGGGGGACAATGTGGACCCTGGGCAGCACCCTCTGAGGTCCCCTTTGGCTGCTGGCACACCAATTTTGGCTATGACTCCCTGTGGCGTGGGTCATGGGGCAGAAGCTCGTTTTTGCTCCATGGTGCCTTCGAAGAGAGGTGAAGTCCTTCTCCCCCTTGGATGCTGTGTGTGTGTGCAGAAGGGAAGAGGTGGAGGTTGTGTCAGGACCTCAGCATCGTGGTGAGTGGTACTGGCATTTAGGAAAGGATGGAGGGTCTGAACTGCCCTTCCCCTTTCATGGTACCCAGTGAAGGGGAAGTGGGGTGGCAGGGACTGAGAGAGTCCCAAGTCTTGCAGGTACAGAGTATGATGGCTCTGTGCTTGGTTGCAGGCAGACCTGGCCCTGGCTGCATCATCCAGCTCCTGCTGCTGCCAGAGGAGCTCCTTTTGCTTTTTGCTCCGCCAATGCCGTTGCCCACCCCACCTACCCCCTGCAACTGGGAGAATTCAGCTTTCGCGATGTGCTGCAATCCCCTGGTTAACCCCAGAAGGAGGATTCATTTCCAAGTGCTGTGCAAGGCTCCCTCAGACCTGGCTTAGAGGCCCTGTAGCTTCCAGCGAGGAAATCCCACCAGCCCAATCCCTGTGCGGGGCACTTGCCGTATCAGAGAGGCCACAGAAACAACCAAGTGCAGGTGAAGTCCCTGGGCCCTGAAACGCCCATGGGGTATGGCTGCTGATCCCAGCCAGGCAGGGATCACCCTGCAGTGACCAGGTTTCCCCAGTGGCCCCAGCTCTCCGTGGCAGACCACAGGCATCTGAAAAAGCAGAACTCTTTCTCAGGGTGGCATTTGTCAGGTTGCATATTCATGACTCAGGAGTGAAAGAGCACCTGAAGCTCTGAGCCGACAGTTCTTCTAAAGAATAATAAACAGGAAAGACTGGGCAAGTATGTTGACTCAAGACAAAAAGGCCACAAAACCCCAGAAACCTAGTACAAAGTCATCACTGCTCTGGTCTGATGATCTATTTTTTTTTCTGAGTTGGGCTTGGGCTGTCTTACCTTCCCCTCCCCTCACCCTGGCTCTGCTGAGAGTCTGTGCATCTGAATTCCTACAGATTTCACTGACAAGAGCTGCCCAGAGGTGACTTTCTCTCACATCATCGCCCTGCCTCCCTTCTTTGGGTCATGCCATTCTCCACGTCTGCCTTCCCGCACGCTCCCGTTCTCTGTTGCTCTCTTCCAGATGTGGCTGCCTTCAGTTCAATCGCTGAAAATGAGGACGCGCTCCTCAAACATTTATTTCAAGGCTATCAGAAATGGGTCCGCCCCGTGGAAAACTCCAATGACACCATCAAAGTCCTTTTTGGGTTAAAGATATCACAGCTGGTGGATGTGGTAAGTGTGTGTTGGGCTTGGTAAAACACCCCTTCTTTTACAGACAGTTGTGCATCCATCTGGGAGGGCTGGCGATGCCATTGCTTTCTGCCTTCTGACACATGAAATGCAAAGCGATGGTCACGAAATGGAACGCTTGAGTGTGATGCGGTGGTGCTGGTGGTATGACCTGCCCCACAGACAGCACTGGCTGTAAGGCTCGTTTGTTTTGCAGCAAGCCCAAAGGCCCTTGTTTCCCCGGGAAGTTTTCAGGGAATAAGGCCTCGTTGCATCAGGTCAGGTGCTAACGTGGAAAATTTCCCTTCGCTTTCCCTTCCATCACTGCAATGCACAGTGGAATTTGCACAGGGCTTGGAGGTACCCACACAACAGTGTGCTCCTCGCATCCCCCAGCCCCTGGAAGTGTCCCCTTATGCCATGGAAGGCAGACTCTGATTTTGTGCTTTATTTACATATGCAGGACAATGTTTTAGCTTGTTTTTTCCCAAACTCACTCCAGGCTGAGCAGCACGGGGAGATGAGCCATCCTGTGAGCCCACAACCTTGTGTGTCCTGACCCCACTTTGCTGGCTGAGCCCCTGCTCTTTGGCATCCGATTCCTTCTGGCTGCTGTGAAATGCCAGACCTTGGTTTTCCAGCCTCAGGAGCTCCCAGCGAGAGCAGGGACAGCACCTAGAAAGCCAGTTCACTTCCCCCCAGTGACTGAAGAGCCCAGGCTCATGGAGAAACAGGACTGTAGGGATCTCCTCTGCTCGGCACAGGGTTGGACTCCGCAGGCATAGGGTCTGTTTCTGTTGGCTGTTTTGGTATTGCAATTCTCTCTACCTTGTGTCACCCTAGGATGAGAAGAATCAGCTGATGACAACCAACGTGTGGCTGAAGCAGGTAAATTGGACCAAACCAGACCTCCCCTTTCAGCAGGGCGCTGCTGAGCTAAGCGGCCCTGCCAGCCTGATGGCCACCACACCATCCACCCCCTTCCATGATGCTGAGCGGCCAGAGAAAAGCAGCACCATGTTACCTCACCTGAAGTTTCTGCTTTACTCCTCTCACTTCAGCAAATGCATAAAGGGGCAGAAAGGCAGGCAGGTGGGCCTTTAGGAAATAAGGTACTCTCTTCTCCTGGCCTGCACCCCAACTGTGCACTCAAGACAGCTGTATTTCAGGGAAGCAACATCTCCTAGTGCTGCAGTGGTTGTCCCTGGGATGCGGTGTGTGCCCTGAGGGACTATCCTGTCTCAGACTTAGAGGTCACACAAGTACGGTCTCTCTTGCCTGAGCTAAGAGTGGTGCCTTGGATTGATTTCTTCTTCAGCATAAGAGAAAGAAAAGGCCAGCATGTTACACAGACACACAGACACACACACACAAAGACACTGAAAATCTGTGGCAAATTAATCAGATATCTCTAACATAATTGCTTCTGGAAGTGATGGTAATTTATACAAATGGGGGAAAGGTGCAAGTTGAACTGTTAGGTCTCTGTTCTTTTTCACTCCTGAAGAACACTGTGTTTGGTTTAGATTGCATTGCACCAGTTTATTGACCTCGTGACAATTATTTTAAGGCTTTCAGCCATGTGGGTATCTATAAACATGTCAGCTGATCCCAGGAAGAGGACATAAACCCAAGCCGTACTTGAAATGATGCCATGAGAAGTGGTTCCCGGGGGGTTGCTGGGCTGGTGGAGAAATGCAGCACAGTTTTTGCTCTCAGTCTAGTACCTGTAGTGCTGCAGTGAGTGTGAGCTTCTGGGTGGAGCCGGACCCCTAAACGCCATATGGACATTATATGCAAAGATGGTGTCTCCCTTTACGAGGGAGAAGCTCAGACTTCCCCTTGCTGCAGGGAGGACAGGAATTTCCCCTTTTGCTGGGGAAATTTGCTGCTGATCCGAATGCAACTGCTGAGACCCTGCCCTGAAAGAGCTGCGGCATTACATTTTCTTCACCTTCAGCAGCAATTGCAGAGCTCCTCATGTGCACAGGGCCAGATCTTGGCTTCCTCACTCTGTTTGAGTCGCCACTTGGGCAAGCAGCAGGGCCTTCCTACAAAGGTGACCCCTCTGCCCCGCGTCTGTCATCTCTCTGTTCCTTCCCTCTCTCCTTGCAGGCTGCAGCACCCGCCTCCCCTCCAGGTCCTAAGCCCTGCGGTCTGCAGGTGTGAAAACCCTCCTCATCCTCTCTGTTCCTGCAAGTGTCCCCAGAAAGACTTTTACAGCCTTTTGCAGCCTTTGACAGAATATTTCTGGGTCTGACCATCTCCTTCTCTGGGAAGACTTGCCTGCTTACTTCATCCAGGACAGCAAAGTCCCCTATGACCTGGGGCAGCCTTCATCCCTCTGGCTGGGTGACATCCTCACCAGGTTACAGTGACTGCAGAAGAGAGGGACGTGAAGTATTGACTCACATTAGCAGGCCAAAGGCAAGTCCAGGCTGCCCAAGGGCATTACGCCTGAGATGCTAATGCAGACAGACACCTACCAATCCTCTCTCCCTTGCTGCATGAACCTGCGTGGGGGGACATTTTGGGTTAGCCCATCCATGCTGAGGACCCCATTTGTCTTGCGGTGCTGACCTCCCCAGAGCCATAGCCTGGAGCTTGTGTCACCACTCTTGCTGTGGGAAATCAGGTTCTGCTGCAGGTTACTCCAAACATGCTGCAGGAGGTAGGGATGTGCCACCATCCACACGCTGCCTCTCGGGTGTGGGGGAGGATGAGGATGAGGGGGAAGCCACTTTATCTGATCCTTCTACCTTATGCTGTGGCTAAAAGAAGGAGCTGCCCAGGCATCTGCACTGTAGACCTGCTGATTCCTCTGGAGGCCTTTGGAGACTGTGCTCAGCTTTTAGCCAGGGCACTGTGATTTTCAGAATTGCAGAGATGGGGACTCACTAGTTCTTAGCATTTCCAATACCATTTCTCCACCTGAAGGGCTGAGAACATCAAGGCCCAAATGAAATGCAATCAGAACAGAAAACGAGTGAGACACAGGCTCTGATTTTCACACATGCAGATGCCCCCAGGAGGTGAGACTGAGGACTAAATACCTGTGGCCTGACGCAGGTGTCCTGCTTTGGGAGTCATGCATTCCCGTAGGCTTGGTGTGAAATAGTCCCACATCCAGTCAGTCCAGTGCCTGGGGGATTATTAGGGTGCATAAGCAGAACAGCTAGGAGAAGGTCCATAAAACTAATCAGAATTAAAATATTTTTTTCTTTTGGGTAGTGAAAAGTGAAAAACACTAAAACAAACAAGAACTCTCTAATGACAACAGATCCTGTCCTTCTGCAGGAGCTGGGGAGGTCAGGGAAGTCTGGCCCTCACCCTGGGTATGTGAGGTTGAGGGGGAATCACAGTCATCATTTCTCTGCAAGGGTCTGGCTTTTCTTAGGTGAGCAAAGCTCAAATCCAAACATTTTCTTTTTTTTTTTACTTCAACTATCCAGATGCTCAAGATGATGGGACTTGATGATGTGCATGCAGGCAGACACACAAGGTGCTAAGGAGCTTTTGCTAAGGTTGCTGAGAAAGTGCCTGGGTTTGGGCAAGCTATGGAGTCTACTAGCGATGGTCGAGAATCTGGGTCCAGTGTTTCTTCATCCACTTGCCGTGGGTTAAGCACTTGAGTGACAGCCCAGAGACAGGAGTTTGGCAGATTTGGAGGAAGGGGATAGCAATGGGAGGGTCTGGAGCAGCTTGGAAGAAAAGGAGAATAGAGGAAAGGGCCCTTCACATCTGCTGCTACAGTTCGTGTCAGCATAGCCCATAGGGAGATTCCCATTTTAAACTGCTCATCTTCAAAGTCTGCACACAATCTATTTTCTGCTCTAGTAAGAGGACATGCAACCGTTTGCCTTGCAGACATGAAAGAGCACTTAGCTGGGAGAGAAATCAGCACAGGGCAGGGGGAGGGAGGAGTACTGCGGATGCAGCAATAACCCAAGCCAAGGGGCTGCTCCAATTCAACTCCAGAGGGATGATTGTATCTCCAGGTGGCTCACAGGGTATTTGCTTCTGTTGCGGTAGTGCAGGCTATGAGCCGATGGTGTTGGCTGCTGCTGTCAGCCCTGACTGTCCCCTTACACAGAAGGTATGTTTGCAGCCTAAGCCCCCTTGCACCTATTACAGAGGTGTCCAGGATGCATGTGAGCCTGTGCCCACCTAACAGCCCAGGCTGCTGTGGACATCAGGCAGATACACATCCACAGTGGAAAGTTCACGCTAAAAGTGGTGTGCTCTGTCCCTGCTGCTGAGACTAAGAGTGGCAATGACCCCTCTTGTCTTTCCACACCTGCACAGCTCCCAGCTCTCCTTCAGCAGCAGGAGGAGCCAGGGTGGAGGGCTGTGCCTGAGAGCTGATGCCAGCCATTTGTGCAGTTCAGAGAGTAAGTCCATATCTCTTCTGGTGCAGGTAGTGGGGCCATTAAACCTGCCATGGTACCAGCCTGGGCAACTGCCTCTTTTGCTTGTGCCTTGGGCCAGGTTTTAGGACAGGTCTACCAGCCACCCGCCCATGACCTCGTGCCCCATCCCTTCCCTGCACTTGGAGGAGGAAGACGCTTGTTCTCACTGCCTGTGTTTAAGTCTCCACTGAGGCTCTGGGCTGCTGTCACACTGTAAAGGACTGCAATAACAAATGTCTGTAGGTATAGCTGTGAAAAGCATGTGGAATTGAAGAAGTAAGAGGGGAACAATATGGTGCGAGAAGAAGCAGCGAATATCATTTTTTGGTTTGTCCTTAAATCATGGAGGAAATTGCCCACAGAAGGCTAAGCACCCCCACATCCCTGCGGAGCTCTTAGTGCTGAAGCTTAATGGAAAGTGGTTCATCTTCCACTTCTTGGTATTGACCACAGTCTACAGCTCTTTCTTCCTCTCACTGCTGTTTTCATGGGCAAGTGAAAACCCCCATCAATAATGAACAAGGATCAGAGAGCTGCTTTTCCACTGAATCTCTTTGGAAATCTCCAGGTTGCTAGAGCCACTTTGCTAGGATCTCCCCATCTGAAAAAAAAAAAAAGGAGACAAAAATTATCCTGGAGTTCAGCATGATGGACAGGACTCTCCCCGCTTTTGCTTTTTTAGTGCTCTCTCTTCAGAATTGTAACCAAATGCTTCACGATAGCATCATATTATTTTTCCTATGATAGTGTGCAGATCTTTCTGATGAAAGAACAATGATTTGGTTTGCAAGGACAGTGTACAGATATTAGCTGCTCTACTCCATTCACTGAAAAAAGCCAGGTCTCCACTGAAAAGTAAAGGCCATCTGTCTGTCACTTGGGTAGTAGTAGCCATGCCAGCTGGCTCTTTTATGGGGTCACTGCCAGCCAAACCCACCATGGGCTACTTCTCAGAGAGAAGGAGAGGTGCCATATCCAAGGGCAGTGGCTCCTTCCTTCTGGACTACCCTCAGCTGGGTTGGGCAGGGTGGTGAGTGAAGTGGGAGTCAAGGGCTCTCCAGAAGTGCCCACCTTGAGGTTGCCTGCCAAGGGATGGGTTGCTGGGGCCCACTGGTGGATGGAGGGCCAGTGCTTGTGGGGATTAACATCTCCCAGCTGTGCCTGCCTGGCTTCCTCTCTGCAGCTGAGCAGTCTTACACCAAGCTCTGCCCACTGTGCTGTGCAGTGGAGTGCCTCTGAGGCAAGCAGTGGGAGGAGGAATGTGGCTGTTCTGTATGAGTGGGCAGACGACTCTTCTGGCTTGTTACAGGAATGGATCGACCATAAGCTCTCCTGGAATCCAGAGGAATATGGTGGGATCACCGCCATCCGTGTCCCCTCTGAGTCCCTGTGGCTTCCTGACATTGTTTTGTTTGAAAAGTGAGTAGCATGGCTCCTTGCTCCGGGCTTAGGCCAGAGCTTGGCCAAGGCACGTCAGCCACCGTGAAGCCTGTGTGTGCTGTCAGAGGGCTGCTTCTTTAGGCAGTATGAATATTGGCTTCCCTTATGCTCCAGGGGATGGGTAGAAAGCAGAGCTGTGAGGGGGTAGGACTGGGGCTAACGTTGTCCTGAACTCGGTACTGTTTCTTCCTGTCCAACTCCCAGTGCTGATGGACGTTTTGAAGGATCCCTGATGACCAAAGTCATAGTGAAGTACAATGGAGTGGTGACCTGGACACCACCGGCCAGTTATAAGAGCTCCTGCACGATGGACGTGACCTTCTTCCCCTTCGACAGGCAGAACTGCTCCATGAAGTTTGGGTCGTGGACATATGATGGCAGTATGGTGGACTTGATTTTAGTGGATGAAAATGTAGACAGGAAAGACTTCTTTGATAATGGGGAGTGGGAGATCTTAAACGCTAAAGGTATGAAAGGCAACAGGAAGGATGGGCTGTACTCTTACCCATTTGTCACTTACTCCTTTGTGTTGAGACGCCTTCCTCTGTTTTACACGCTTTTCTTAATAATCCCCTGCCTGGGATTGTCTTTTCTAACTGTCCTGGTGTTTTACCTGCCTTCAGATGAAGGAGAAAAGCTTTCATTGTCTACATCAGTTCTAGTGTCCCTCACTGTTTTCCTTTTAGTGATCGAGGAAATAATCCCTTCTTCTTCCAAAGTCATCCCCCTGATTGGTGAGTATCTGCTGTTCATCATGATTTTTGTGACCCTCTCTATCATCGTGACTGTGTTTGTTATCAACGTCCACCACCGCTCCTCAGCAACTTACCATCCCATGGCTCCCTGGGTTAAAAGGCTCTTCCTCCAGAAGCTGCCTCGGCTGCTCTGCATGAAAGGCCATGTAGATCGTTACTCCTTCTCAGAGACTGAAGAAAAGGAAACCACCTTGAAATCAAAGCTCCCGGGGAAGCAAAAACACAAGCAAGCAAAAGATGGAGAGAAAATTGTTATTGCCTTTCTGGAAAAGGCAGCTGACTCCATTCGATACATTTCCAGGCATGTTAAAAAGGAGCATTTCATCAGACAGGTAGGTGAAGGGAGGGCAAGGAGGGATTACAGTTTCCTTGACAGCAATGACTTCTGAGTTCTTACCGTTCCTGCATGCCTTTCCCTTTGCTTCTTCCTCCTGCTGTCATCTAAGACATGTCCTGCGAGCTTCCTTTGCTTGATAAATAGTATGGGTTTTGGGAAAACACATTGCTTCAAGGAGAACTGTACTGTGCTGTGAGAGTCCCTGTTCTTCACAGATGCAAGGGGCCACAGCAGCCTGTCCTGGAGGAATTCCTGTTTTGGGGTTATTTGAATAACCTTGTCCTGCTTAAGCTGGGGATAGACATGAATCTGGAAAAGCTCTGCACCGCCACATGCTCTGAAAGTGTCTCTTTTGCAACACTTATAGGTAGGCTCTACGGCAGTGCTAGGTCTCAGCCCTGGCCTCCCAGTGACTACCACAGTGTAGCTCTCCTGTTTTGAGTGGAGGTCTTGCACATCTTCACTAACATCAGTTCAGATTAGTCCCTAGCTACCATCTTTCTGCTCCTCACAACAATCTGCCTGGCTATTAAATTGGCAGATTACTGTGTGCATGAACAAAGCATCTTATGTGAGGGTGGGACAGCAGAGCAATGCACCTAGCAGCATATGGAAAGAGAAAACTTTGGTTAACGCCCTCCTAGCAGAAGCCAAGACTCTGTTCAAACTGTTCTGAGAGGACTTCAGCAGAAAGATGAGCAGTAAATCAAACAAGCAGTATGTGAGCATATAGTGTCCATGACTGAAGCCTTCTGTTTGAAGCTGAAATAATTGTTAATAAAAAAAGTTCCTTGAATTGCTTTTATAAATAGCCCTTCTGTGTGTGCAGGGCTGTGCTAGTACTCATGATGCAGAACTCCCCTCCTGAACGCACACAATCTGAGCCAACAGAGCACTTAGGCAAACACAAGCCAATGGGACCACTTGCACTGGAAGCAATGTCTGCCAAGTCCTGGGACTTCAAGGGAAAGGCAGTTCTGTGAGGAGAAACCCAGCTCGTTATAGAGCCACCTTCAAGCTTGAGTCTGTAAACTTTCACATATGCATTTAGCTAAAAGCTTTTGCACAGGCTGAAAGAAGTCTGATTACCATGTGCATAAAACTATGGAATTGTGTGCTGTTTTGAGTGACTCAGCTATGAGTGCTGGAAAGGTGATCCATGCCTGGCTTAGGATACAGCACACTATAAGCTTCTAACTTTAAAAACAGATTCTTGGAGCTGAAATATATGTAGCAGTATCAACAAAGTATGGGGCTCATTGCTGTTTCTGTTTGTTCTCCCCCTCTCCTTCCCAGGTTGTCCAAGACTGGAAGTTTGTAGCTCAAGTCCTGGATCGGATCTTCCTGTGGTTGTTTCTGGTGGTGTCAGTGACAGGTTCAGTTCTCATCTTTACCCCTGCATTACAGATGTGGCTGAACAGCGCTTTGTAGAAAATGCTCCCACGGTAGCACACAGCAAGTACAACACCAAGGGATGGTGGTGCCTCCGAGCTTGGTCTCTGTTGTGCAGGATGGGAAGCAACAGCAAGAACGAGGGAAGGTGATGGTAACAGTTGGCATTGAGTAGTGCTCTCTATCTTCATACAACTCTACCACTTACAGATTTGGCTGAGATCAGAGAAGGGCTTGGTGTGCAGCTGAGTCCTGAAGTAAATTGGGGTTGCACAATTGGGCTATAAGTATTTTATTAGTAGCTTGGTTATATTACAATAAAAGCGAAGATTATTAGTTGGATATAGTACTTCTGGCACAATGATTATACTTAAAAGGCAGATATGTCCGTTAAAATGCTACCTTATAAAAGAAGTTATAGCAGGAACACAAATCAGTACTCAGCTTATCTACACTTCCCAGTAAAAACCACGGAGTCTCTGCGGATCGCTTTGTGCATGTGTCAGAACTGGCAATCACACAGCATGTCCATCAGAAAAGTACAAATACCTTTTATATGGGATGTTTGAAACCTTGACTCTGTGGCCTCACCTTGCTGCAGGATGAGGTCAACAGTGGCAGAACCCCCCACTCTGCCCACCCACTACCAGCCTTTACAGCATGCACAATTCGTCTCTCCTCTGGGCTGTCGGGAAGCTATGAGGTGTTACCCACTTTTCAGTATTATTTGCAATTTTGCCTGCTGCTCTGTAATGTACCACGTGACTGAACAAGTAAGGATTTTCCCCATGCTCCGCACATAGAAACTATGATTCCTGCGCCTGCTTGTTCACAAGGCAAGTGGAAGTGGAAGATAATCTGACGCGTAGCTCATGGAGAAAGATGGCTATGCTACTCCACAAGACAACAGTGATCTTCCTAAACAGTTCAGTTGGAGGGAAGCTGCGGACATAATTTTTGGCAAATGGAACTTGTGGTTGGTGCAGAAGTGAAGTTTCTCCTGAGAGCTGTGGGGTGGGCTGGCTGCTGGGAAGATACATCTTTGAGTGTTGGCTTTTTCATGTTTCCCAAGGAATTAATTCAATTTCATTCCTTTGATTCATTTAAATGGGGTCCTTCTGCATGATTAGAAACAGCTCTTAAAAGTGTAAATGAGACCTGACGGAAAATGCACAGGTGCAGCTCTCGCCACTTTTGCTGGGCAGTGTCTCGCCAAGATGGAGTGCTTTAGAAAATCCCATTCAGAACTTGCAGGTGTCTTCAAGGCTGGCAAGGGATTTGGAGATCCAATTTTTGGCAATCTAAATGTGAACCTGGTGTTAAAGCTTTACCGAGCCTTGAAACTTTCTCCCTAGGTATGGAGCTTAGAAGGTGTTACAAATACATGGGGGTGTTCTTGTGCTTGGATTATGCGTGCACACCAGACCTCTGTGACTTAGTATCATCCTACCTTGTTGTGTCACCGCAGAAAGTTCTGTTCACTTGTGCAGTCATTACTAATAAAGATGTATTTAGTAAATGATTCCTGGCTTGAGAGTGCTCATACGCTGGGCTTTGTTGTTGTTTATGTCTAGGTGGTAGCCCATTTTAAAAGCCTTGTCTCAAATCTATGCAAACAGAGGGGTTCTCACGCTCTTGAAAAGTCCTCATAAATTTTTAGCTCTGTGTCTGAGTTTGAGGAGGGAGCATTCAGATCTGGTTATGGTATTGCAGGAACCTAGAACAGGCCCATTTAGTTCAGCATATACGGATAGCTGTCTTAATGTAAGATACTGGTATAGAACTCTTACACATTGACCTTACTACCAGCTGCTCCTCCTTCTTGCATTGTTTAAGTCAGCTTGTTCCCCTGGACAGCACTGTGAAATACCGTAGGAAAACAGCCAGGAAGCTCTTCTTTCCAGCATTTACAGGCTCTTAAATCAATTAGTGATAGGTTTTTCCTCTGAACACTGCTGCCAGGGGACTGCCTGCTAGCCACAAGAGATGACAAAATCCTCTCCAGGGCAAGTGCTTCAGGTGTTCAGCTGGCAGATGGGCCTGTCCTCACCTTGTGACATTTCAGTTGCCCACCCGCAGGCAACGCATGGCTGTGTGTCATGTGGCCGTGCCTGATGCCAAGCTGCTTTTTCTGGCTTATGCTGGCAAACATCAGCCGGGCTCAGGTCCTTGGAGTGGGAGATGTATGAACACTGCACAGATATGGCTTTTGGTATCTGGATCTCCTTGGCGTCTGGGACTGCTACATCTGTAATCTCACTACTCATTATTTCCCTGAGCTCTTTCCGAGCTTCCCTGAATCTCTTTGCTGCTGGCCCACAAATGCGTTCAGCATGTCCCACAGCCTGGCCTGCCGCTAAAAAGCACAACTAGGGAGGACATTTTGGCAGACAGTCCTCCGATGGGCTCCTTCCCTCTGCTCCATGTGCTCTGCTTGTGGACGACAACATTGCAAATCACAAATCTTCGAAAAAAACCAGCAACCCTTTGCCTTACCTCTATCCTAATGTGCGCTGCATTGATGTCTGGGCACTGGCTTTCCAGGGCCTTGGCACTGCTTGGCAGGACCACCTGTATCTTCCATTCACCAAGAAACAAATATGACAAAGTCCTCTGGGCCATTTGGTGGGGGGAAAGCAGAAAGATGGCCTCCCTTGGGAAGAAAATGTAATGAGCTGGTTGAGCTGATGAATTGCTTCTGTGCTTTTAAAATCAATTAGTAGATGCCATCACTCTCAGGGAAGGGAGATTTGTTGCTGCCAGTGCTACACTTACCACTGGCACATGTAATAAGGGGTTTTGCTGATGTGGCTTTGGAGCTGGTGGAGTGAGAGCACACACCCCACTCAGTATGCCCTGCAAGGAACATGGGTACTTTCCCAGTGGCTGTGCACAGTGTACGACCCAACTCAGCGTCTGGGATGGTACCAGCTCTTGTTGAAACTTTTCTTGGTATTTCAGTTATAAGGTCCCTCAACAAGAGTTGGGGCAAGCAAAAATGCCACTTTTGTGGGAGTTAGAATCATAGAATCATAGAATCGTTTATGTTGGAAAAGACTTTTAAGCTCATCAAGTCCAACTGGTTCTTCCATGTCTGCTCAGGGGTGGGCCTCTACTGCAGCCTTCTTCAAGGTGAGATGCTTACCATGTCCCCCACCCTCACTCTAATGGCTCTAATCATCCAGCTACTTTCACAAAGCTGACAGGAGTACTCAAGGCTCCCAGTCTTGAATGTGCCACACACAGCTGAAAGTGGCAAAAGAAGGTTCCAAAAGTTACTGGGTAGGGGGAAGGAAGGGGGAATAGTACACTTAGAGAGACACAAACGTGACTTTGTAAATCTTACTTTCTTAGGACACTAGGCTGATGAACTAAACTCCCCAAACCCTGTGTTTAAGGTCCAGAAGCAAGACAGAGAGATGTGTAGTGCTGTAAATGACAAGGACGGGGAGCTGGTGCTGGGGCACGGAGGCCTCCTAACTGGAGATGGGGATCTGTACAGTTGTGAATGCTTTGACAAAGAGCCAGGGTGCCACTGGCAGTGGGGTAGTAGCTGTCATGCCTGAGACACTGACCCAGTACACCTTCAGCCACAATATTTTCATTGTATGGTCATAGACTGCAACAGTGAATGCTGGCAGTCAGATGCCTTTCCTGTGGAAATGAAGCTTTTGGGCTCAGAATGCAGCTCTCCTCTTCAAATGCCCTTTCTTTCCCCTCCCCTCCTTTCTGATTAAAGAGCCAGCATAGCAAATGTCACTTAGTAGCATCTCTAAACACATTGTACAGCAGGGAGTTTTTAAAAAAATACAAATTCTTCACAAAAGTATATCCCAGGAATGATATTTAATTGACAGGCTGACAAAACAAACCATGCTTGTTCATAGAGCTGTCTGTCAGTTGCTACATAATTATGCAACATTCAGGGGGATTGCAGAAAATAGTTTTCTTCTAGAAAATCATGACTTTACGTATTTCGACTACTGGGTTAAGACAGTTATACAGTTATATTCTTGTCATTCCACCTTTATCTCTGACATACATACACATTTATTCAGTCCTATTCTCTTTATTATGGAGCATCAAAAAGGGGTAAAAGGCCAGTCAGGGACTTCAGAAACAGCAAGTCATACTTTCCCTATGTTCAAAGCAGAGACTGACACATGGCAGACACTGAAAACACTGCTCTGACACTGTACAGTTAAATTTAGAGCCTCCTACAAGACAGAAGGGTTTTTTACTCTTGAAGCCATGGGCTTTAATTGGAATGGTGCCTTTTAGAGAAGAATCCTTCAGCACAAACCCATCAGGAATCTAAACAGACAAGGGACCAGAGGGCAAACTGTCCACACATCAGGTGCACATCTACACGGTGTTTCAGGATTAAGCGCACTGGGATTGGGAACCTGGTTACACAGCAGCAGCCTCAGCCCCAAAGGATGTGTCCCTACAGTTACAGGTTTGCACACACAGCACTGACCCATGAGGAGCCAGCAAATGGAAAACTGCTGCAGAGCTGTTTGGACCATGGTGCCCAGCTTTGCACATGATTCATCATAGCCAGCCTTCTGCTGGGATGCATGCAATCCAAGTTGGTCTGGGGTTTTAAAAGCATGGGAAAACTCAGATCAATCCAACACTGTCAAGCCAATTCTGTCTGTGATGAGTAGCTACGCAGGTACAAACCCTTCTGTGTTGGGCTTATGGTTGAGCCTGAGCAAGTAAGAGTTTTCAGGGCTGAACCTGTGGACTGGGACCACTGTTAACCTGATGAGAGAAACGTGGCTTGGAAATCCTACTGGAGCTCACCAAGGTCTCAGTATTCATTATCATAAAGTAAAGGGGACTTTGGTCACATGCAAAGTTAAGTGGCAGATGAACTAGTTTTTAAAGGTCTTAGAAGCATGTAGATTCCAAATGTGGACACCTTACATGGTAACCACAAACAGCTCAGGTCTTTTCTGGTTTTCCATAGTGCATCCAGGTTATTCGTCTTTGATGTTTCCAGGATGCTTCAAATGATATCAGCAAGGCTACATGCAGTGCAAAATATTAAGTCGGTTTGCCTTCAACTATGATTAAGTGCTTAAGCCTGTCTGACTTCAAACATAAATGTAAACGTGTGCTTTCTTCATCTGGGACCCTCATTTGTGTACATACATTGCAGAAGATGGGGACCCCTTATTTTAGATTGTATTGAAAATGTTATGGGGCCAAGCGATTGGTTTGACTGTACTTCTATATTTATCATTGGCTGCCCTGACAGAAGAACACAATAAAGAGCATTGGTGCAGTCAGTGGGACTGTGGTACCTCATCTACGTGCCATACCACAGACTAGCTGTTGCATAAGGGGAGAAATAAAGAGGAAACGTAAACTAACTCAGAGCTGAGGAAGAGTTATGATCAGGAGAGAAAAATGAAGCCAGGTAGAGTTCTCTTTGAGCAATGCACTCAGAAGTGCCTGAACTGTCCTAATAGCCCCCTGTGCTGAAACCAAGGGAAAAGCTCAGCAACTTCAAGCTGCTCCTGTGACCCTCAGTGTGATTGTTATTGCTGAGCTCACCGAGGGAAAGACAGGCTGGCACTCTAAAACCCCCAGGCATTCCACCACAGAAAGACCACATGCTCTCTCCCATTTTCAGCCCTCTTCTTATTCTGTTTTGGGTTGTTTGCTTTCTCAGAGGACCCTTCCCTCCCTTTCTCGTTTCCTCTGTGGCTGGGTGCTGAGGAAGCAATGAGCAGTGGGGTTAGGAGAGAAATACAGGGCACAGTTCCAAACCGAAAATGAAACAGGAACAACAGTGGGTAAAAAGCAGTGGATCAAATTATGTATCTGCTATTAGCGGCTGGATAAAGAGTCCTGCAGTTCCAAACACACAAAGGATTATAAATACCCAGAGAAATACTCTGTCTATCACCATAGCTACGTATTTCCAATCATCTTCCACCTGCAAGAGAAGAAAAAATGAAAAGGATAAACTACGTGTAATGTAACATGCAACTGCGAGTTGACACTATGCAGTAGAAATGTCCTTTGTGCTTTTGAATGTGAGGAAGAACATACATGCAGCCAAGAATGTTGCTTGTCATGCTTATAGTTGCTGGAGTTTTCAAGCATCTTTAGAGGGGGCTGATTTTCTAATAGTATTTGCCACTTTCGGCTGAGAACTTTCAACACTGTCCTAGCCTGCTGATTTTTTCTAAATATTCAAGTCTGTTGCCAAGCTATGGCTGTGACACTGACACTAACAAATAGGACCTGATCATGTGGTGGGAGAAGAGTCGGTGGTTTAACAGCAGGCAGAATCACTGTAGCTGCACATCACCGGACCCTGTTAAAGGGTTTATCCTGACAGCCCCCACAAGACAGTTTGCTATTCTGCCCTGATTCGCCATGCTGTCACTCCAGTCAAGCCCCATTGGATCCATGGGGCATTGGATTCCAGCAGGCTGGGGAGCTGGACACATGGACTATAGCAAAGCGAGGGCCCTGATTGAGCAAACCACAAGTGTCATGTGCTGGGCAGGCCACAGTGGATTTTGTGTATCTGAGAGATATACCTTAGAACCACAATTCAGTGAAGTTGCTGTCCTTTTAACTGTACCTACATACAAGGGCCACTGCATCAGAAGAACATTCACTCATATAAAACTAGTCACTGGTTAAGAGCTCTCTGCTGAGGGATCTTCCACTTGTTTTCCCAGTTTCTTGATGTTTTCCTCCAAAAGGCTGATGCTGTACTTCTTGTGAAAGAAAATGCAGCAGGAACTCCAACTGCTGTAAATGTGGCCACAATTTAAAAAGGGATTTTATTTATACAGGGCTAGTGCATGATATCACCCATACAGCTTTGTATGCCTAACTGAAACAGAAGCAGCCTGTGGAATCATTTCCTCGGTGCTTGCCTGAGAACAAACCACTTTTCTTCTCCAAAGAGAGGATTTTCTCAAATGAAAAATCCTGCTTCCCATCCTTACTATGTTTTGAAAGGTAAGATACAGAGCTGCTGACGCACACACCAGACTAAGAATACAATTTCATGTGGCAGGAGAGATTTGCAAAATGCAAATCAGCAAAACTGGCAGTGGAAGACTTATCATGAGCTGTATAATCGAGCTGTATAACCAAGGAAGCATGTTATTTGGACTGCTTCACGCAAAGCCTCTTCTTTTTTGGAGTGCATTGGAGAAATCAGCTGAATATGGTACATGGATATGCTTTATGCAGCTGGTGTGGCAATGAGGGCAGAGCTAAAATGTGGAGGTCAAGCAAAACATGAAGGGCATAGGTACTAAGCAAGGCTCAGCTCAATCCCAATCCTCCTCTGTGCTGTTAGATTCCTGTCTTTCGCTTTGGGCTGGCATGTATTACCCGCTCATTCTATGAATGCAGTTACCAGGCCTTAACTGTAGCCCTTTATTCAGAAAGCTATTGACTTTGCTTTCAGATTAAACTCCTGCAGGACATAAAAAAGGGGGAAAAAAAGTAATTTTTGAGCTGCACAGAAGTTGCATGAGTTTGTGCTGATTTCAACAAAATATTCTCATAGAAAGAATACCTCTCAACATTTTCCTCACAAAGTATTTGTGTTTTTCAATACAAATACAGCAGTATTTAATTTTGAAATGGATTTTGCTGTCATAGAACATCTAAAAAACTTCAAAACCGAAAGAAAATGTTTCATGACATAATGTTTCATTAGGTTCTAAACACTTTTTAAAAGCATCTTGAAGTGTCAGAGGACTCCTATTCCTTGTGAGGCCTGGGCGTTGGGAGATGTCAGATAATCTTCCCTGGAGCTGCTTTTAATTGCTTGTGTTTACACCTGAGGACATGGCCCCAGAATTCTCTAAATTCCAATGTGCATCATTTTCTATGGCAGTAATCCCAGTTAGTATGATAGATTTATAACCTCACACAAGCAAGTCCATTAGTTCAAATGCCAAGCCTCATTTTTAAACCCCACTCTTTTTTTTTTTTTTTTAATCTGTCTTTATTCATCTGTTGTCTGTTTTTATTCAGCTGTCTTCCCCCAAAACTCAACTTTTATTTCAACGTTTGTTTGTCATGGCTGAAAATACTGTATTGCTGAAGCCACAAATAGTCAAATCACTGTAAAAAAATCAGAACACACCAGACTGAAATGAAGTACAGACAACAGCATTCTGAAAGGAATATCTTTACCAGATTGTTGGCTGAGAATAGTTCTTCTCCAGATCAACTACTGCGCTGTTAGGCAAGCCTTGCTCTTTAAAAAGCAGTTCCAAAATTTGCTTCTTCCATTACTAATATAGAAAAGCACCCTACTTGGCAAATAGCATGCCTAGTATTGAGATGTCACTGCTTACCAGGGCTGAGCAGTTGGTGAGCAGTGGAAGAGGGTTGCTTTGGAGGTTCTACAGAAGTAGGGTTGGAAGAGAGCTTGGTAGGTCACATCTTGTTTATCCCCTGCCCCATGGCAGGATCAGTTCTCCCTGAACCACTGCTGATCTAAGTTCATTCCTCATGGCCGCAACAGGCTGATGCTCCTTTTCCATTGAAGGGTGAGCCTCACAGCTAATCTAAAACTGTCTCGCTGCTTGAATTATCCGTTGGGGATAGAGGAAGAACAGATGAGATCACTTTTCCTGTTCCATCCCCAATGGATGATTTGCCTCCTCCCTTTTTGCAGGAAACTTTGACCCAGTCACAGGTCTCAAAATTTTCTTCTCTAGCCCCAACAACTCCAGTTCCTCTGAGCTGACCTCCTAGATCATGTTTTCACTTGCTGGAAGAGTGGCCCCATGCCCAGCTGGGTGGTTATGTCCCTTACCTCTTTGGTTTCATTTTGAGACCTCATGTTCTCTGCGATGAACTGAACGCTGCTAATGACATCCTTCACTTCTGGGGAGTACTCCATATGCTCTGCCATCCATTTCAGTGACTGATGGCTCAGTGGTCTTCTTTTGGTGGTAGTGAGTTCAGCTGCCTTATCACAGTGGCTGCATCGCTGTTCCTTATGTAATTTGGTGTCTTTGTGTTTGCTGTGCTTTGATTTGCTTGGCTTAATGGCTGATTCTTTCTTGTTTTTTCTGGATATGTTTTTTTTCTGCTGTTCTAGGGGCCTCTGCATCAACAGGACTTTGGGGAGCAGTCTAAGAAAGACGGTTTTTACCCATTTGGGCATTGTGTGTGTGGTTGGAGTCCTGTAATGTATATTCAGGACAAACACTGTGATGACAATTGAGAGAGTCACAAATATCATAGTGAAGAGTAAATATTCACCTACAAGGGGAATTACTAAAGAGGTGGATGGGATTGTTTCTGTGATCACCAGTAAAAATACAGTCAAAGAAAGGAGCACAGAGATGCAAAGAGTGACTTTCTCACCACAGTCAGATGGCAGGTAAAAAACTAACACAGTCAGGAATGAGATGAAGAGACAGGGAATGATCAGATTTATGGTGTAAAACATTGGCAACCTTCGAATATAAAAGGAATATGTTATGTCTGTGTAGATTTCTTCACAGCAGTTATATTTTATATCATGTTTGTAGCCAGAAGCATCAACTATTTCCCATTCACTATTTTCCCAAAAGTCATTCATATCTACTTTGGATCCAATGATCAGAAGATCAATTTTGGCTTTGTCATAGGTCCATGAGCCAAATTTCAGTGAACAGTTCTGATGATCAAATGGGAAAAAGGTAATATCCATAGGACAGGAGCTTTTAAAAATAGCTGGTGGGGTCCAGGTGATCATTCCGTCATAGCGAAGGAGGGCTTTGGTCTTGCCTTCAACTTGAAAATCTCCCACAGCACTAGAAAGACAAATGAGGCAAAGAAAAGAAAATTAATATGGAAGTAAATTGTCTTTCATGCACACTGCAAGAGGATACTTTTGAGAGAAAAGGTAAAATGGAAAAGTGTTCATCATACTTATTATATAGGACAATATCTGGTTTCCAAATTTTATCTGCTGGTACCCGAACAAATTCAATGCCATCATATTCTCTGGGATCCCATTGCAATTTGTAGTCATTCCAAATCTGAAAGAAGAATGGGCAACGATTTAAAAACCTTGTACTATCAGTAAATACCTGCTTCTCAGATATTCCTGTAAAACGACAGGCTATGATAAAGCCTGAAAGTGCAGCACGTGTAGAGGGGACTATGGTCCAAAAGACAACAAGGCCATGACCTGCAGAAACACTGGAAATACATGAACATTGCTCATGTTGATTTGCTACTCCCTCCTCTGTGAGGGGATGGGATGCCAATTGTTATGCATTGCTGACATGCTGAGATCTCTCCTCTGTCAGGACAGACCCTTACCTGTGCAAGGTCACCTCCCCACTGCAGAGAGGAAATACAGGCCTTGCTGCTGCTGTCATGAGCGTGCACCCTGCATGTTAAAGGAGGCCAGCATCCTAGTGAAAAAGGAGGTACCTATGCACACTAACAGACAGTTGCTGCCAGGGGACATTATTGGTTCCACAGGGGTGGAAATTACCAAGTCAGGGGCAGCGAGGGATGCCCAGCAGCTGTCTTGCATTGCTGCTCAGAGCCCTATCATGGGCCCATGCTCCATGCTCTTGCAGCCTACCCTGAAAATCCTGATCATAAGTACAGTATCTTTTACTGAAAGCTTTGTGTGGACCACAGTCAGTGCCTGAAGGGAACTGGTTTTGGTGGAAGTTGTCTTGTTTTTCTCAGCAGTTTAAGTCCTCTAAATATCTTTGCCTATGTATAAAAGCTAAAACCATCAGGAAAAATGGAGGCATGTTCTTTTTGCTAATAAATGTTTTGTTTGGAATCTTCAATATGCAGATGACCTAGGACTGCAGAGCTGCATATTTAATCACTCTTTAACGGGTACACCCATCTAGATTTACCCAATAAACCAATGATCATGAGGTTAAAAGAGAACATACAACACAGGAAAGATGGGAGATGTTAACTTCTTGGAAATAAGAATAAAGAAATTACTTTTTCAAATGTGGCTTTGGTTAATGAAGCTTCTCCCTTCAAATACCTTTAAAATCCTTGCTACAAACCAAGCACTTATTCCATAGGTGGAGCTTACAAGGTAACATACATTTCATCGTATCAATGCAAAATGCATGAGAAATGCAATGCAGTCACTTACGTGTCTTAGCCACAAATTTGTTTCCATAATCTGATTGACTTCATCCTAGAAAGAAACACAGGCATGCACATCTTCACTCCATAGATCAGTTACAGTACCCTGAGTTGGCCACAAACTTATTCTGATAAAAATGAAAACTAGAAGTCCACATTAGCTGATATCAGATTTTTTCTGGCTATTTTCAGGGGGCTTACTTATTGTGCACAGTCATGTGCAGTGCAACTGAAAAAATTTTAAAACTCTACTGAAAAATTATGCCCTTTTTGTGGTTTAAGCCAAGCCAGCAACTAAGCACCACACAGCTGCTTGCTCACTCCCCCCTTCCCTGTAGGATGGGGGGGAGAACTGGAAGAGAAAACCCATTGGTTGAGATAAGAACAGTTTAATAATGGAAATAAAACAAAGTAAAATGGTAGTAATAATAATAATACTATAAGTAACAATAATAATACACAAAGCAAGTGATTCACAATGCAATTGCTCACCACCTGCCAACTGATGCCCCAACCTGCATTGCCCAAGCAGTGATTGCAGTCGTGTGTGTGTCCCCAGTCAACTCCCCCTGGGCATGACATCATAGGGTCTGGAATATCCCTTTGGCCAGTTGGGGTCAGCCGTCCTGGCTGTGCCCCCTCCTAGCTTCTTGTGCCCCTGGCAGAGCAGGGAAGCTGAAAAGGTCCTTGGCTCATGTAACTTAGCAACGACTAAAACATTGGTGTGTTATCAACATTATTCTAGTACTAAATTAAAAACACAGCGCTATGCCAGCTATTAGGAAGAAAATTAACTCTGTCCCAGCCGAAACCAGGACAGCCCCACAAATATCAGACATACAAAGAGCTACATTGTTTTGCCAGGGGCCCAAGTACCCGGAGAACACAAAACCTACAATTGCTCTGACGAGTACTAGAGGAATAAGGCTCTGCTCGTGGCTATGTGTTTTGTTGGATTCATTGTTTAAAAAGCTCAGTTTACATAGTACAGTACTGGTCAAGATTCAAGGAAAATGGCATCTGTGCCACAGCATTCTTGCATTTCTATGCAAACCTCTAGAGCAGATGCACTCAACCAGCACTAAGTTAAGTCACTGTTGTACTTAGACCTTCTTTTTACAGACAATTATTGCTATTGCCCATCAGTGATGAATCAGGAAGGTGCTACAAGAGACACACAAAAAAGAAATTGGATCCTGTTCTAATGAGCCTTCAGCCTAAAAGTATTCAGAAATACTTGTATTACATATATTTACGAATGCAGGCTGAATTTCACTATGAAAATATCTGCAAGAATATTGTTTTGGGTAGTTCTTAGTTTTTAAGCATGCGGACTCAAAAAATGTAAGATATTTACAAGTGGAAATTGTAGATGAATTTTCAACATTGTGTACTGAAGATTAAGCACAAAGATAATTCTGAAAGGCCTGTAGGGTTCCTGTCTATGGGTTAAACTATCTAAGTTCTTGTAAAAATCATGACTCCTCTTTGAGAAAACCCAACTGATTTACTTATGGTGTTCCTTTTTTCCTACAAAGGCAGCACTGGGAGCCAGGGACTGCAATGTGAGACAGAACTGCTGAAATCTGCCAAGCTACCTATAACACAGAAACAGAATACTTTGACAAAGGATCTCCAAAAGGTGGCAATTGCCTTCACCATGAGGACTTGCAATGCCTTCATTTATATTCTCAGATAACTTATCTCCCTGGCTGCTGTTGAATGTTGCTCCTCACTGTTTGCCTGTCATCTCATTATGGGCTCAACTAGGTACCTCAGAATCAAAACTTAGCCTCTGTTCTGTGGCTAGTTTGCTTCACAGAGCACCCTTCAGCAAGGGTTGCAGTCAGGTTTTCCTTCTTCCACAGTCCCTCTGCCCTGCCCAGCACGTCTGCCACCTCAGACACACTCACCCTGTATACAGTGCACCCCAGAACACACCACATTCAACCCCAGCTCCATGCTTTAAAACACCACTTTGCAGGCTGCACATCTCATATGTTATTTTGAAACAAACAGTCTGAAAAAGCATGCAAAAAAAAGGATGACTTTATCCCTCAGGACCACTAGGAAATTACACTGGCCCCACAGGAGAATTAGGCCACATGCTACACAACATGGACGCAACCAGGTGTCTCTGGAGTGGGCTAGCCCTCTCCACAAGTGGACCAGAATATTTGGTACTGCTGCTCTGAGTGCCAGAGGTTGCTGCCCAGTGCGGAGGGATTTGACGCTACAGAGTAAGCAAATGAATCTGTGTAGTTCAAACCACTCTCCTGAGCAACTCGGATGACAGGGAGAACAGCAAAGGTCTCAGCATGTACATGTATGCACACATGATGATGTCAGCTATGAGAGTTTCAGGTGCTACCACCACAATTACATTGTCTGTTTTAGCAATTTGTGTGTGGTTGCAACCATCCCCAAGTCTCAGCAGTATTCTGTAATGAGTCTTACCACATTTGTCAGCTGGGTAATGGCCACTTCAAAGTACACTGTGACAGGATCAGACACATTTTCCACTGGCCTGATGAACTGGTTGTACTGGGAGAAGAGTTTGTGGAATAACCGTTCCTCTGATTCGCAGCCTGTGGTATCTGCATTGGTAAAGATAAAGAACAGCTATGTCAAAGGTAAGGAAGAGGGAAAGAAGGCACTGGATAACATGCTAGTCCGTGCTGTATTTCTGAATCCTGTGCTTGCAACTGTGTACCAAGACACAGGAGCACAGAGAGAAGAGGGCTGCCGGTAGCCAGCTGTCAGCTGAAAGCCTTCTCCTGCAGGACGTTGCCCACTGCTCCCTGTCTCCTCAAAGTGTAAGGTAATGGCCTGAATGGAAATGTCTCCTAGGCTCGATCTAGCCTGTGGGCCTCCATTTGGCCCACCCTGATATCAAACCAAAGTAGAATAAGGTGATGTGAAGCAGAAAAAGTAGAAATGTGGTAGATGTCATCTGCGGGAGTTTTTATGGTAAAGCTGAGAGTTTATGAAAAGCATAGCTACTTACTCAGAAATTAAAAGCTTGAGGCTGCAACTACTGGATCAAAATCTATGTCAGGGACTCTGACCAGGTGATTATAATGATGCGTCCTAGTCTTAAAAACTATGACTACATTTTATCCTCCTGTTTGCTATTCCAGCTCTTTAGATAGATAGCACAAATTTTTGCTCTAAAGGAAGTTCAATTATTAAGTTCTATGAGAAAAAAAAGCAGAAATATTAACATTTCTTATTGAATAGCATGCATCTTTGTAATACAGAGCCATTCTTTGGGAACAAGCAGATCATAGCTGTAGCCCCCAGTCAATGCAGGACAGACCGAATGGCTTAGCAGCAATAAGGTAATTGCACTGAACTGCCTCACTGCAGAGTCAGAAGAATGCTCTTAATCTGTTACGCACAGCCAAAACCTGAAATAGTCATTTTCAGGGTGCTAAAGGCTACAGACTTTGATTTCAAGAGGAAAGATTAAATGATGGGGACTCTGGAGACATCAGCTCAGACAAATACTTTTCTGGAATAACTTTGCTGCTTCAGTGCACTACTATAACTCAGCACTTAAATTCAAAATACTTTATAAGGCAAAGACTTGGTTCTTGCTCCTCATATTGAGCAGAGCCATGTTATTAAAGCTATACAATGATGCCAAATGTATTACCGATACAACTGAGGAAAACTTTTTCAGATACTTGATCGTAATTTTTTGCGTTAGTCCCAGACTCCACTATAACACATCAGGAAAGAAATCATGATAAGCCTTTCTGACTGCAAATATTAAACACAGAAGGGGTTTGTGCCAGGCAGCACGGTCTCTGGCACAGCATGGGACGTAAATTTGCAATTTACATTTCCTTCAGTGAACACAAGGGCCTGTGGTTGCACAGATGTCCTACAGGGAGATGCTTAGTTTCAGCACACTGTGCTGTTTCATGCTTAGGCCATCCTTCCCCTGTTTATGAAAAAAGTGACATTCCTGCCTCTAAGGTGATACACAGCATGCTCAGATTCAGGATATTATCACAGCTAAAAGATGAAATGTTGGTTACTGGTGACTTACATGTATGGAAAGAAAATTCTAGTAAAACGCCATGACTTGATGTTTTGTTCATCCTTTTAGCATCATCCAGAGAAGATACATGAATGTCTGTAAAGTCTGGATGTTTGTATATCATGTATTGTGCCATTCAAAAAGCACATTGTCATTTCCTTTTCAGATTTCCTCCTCATCATCCATTGCACTGTGACTAGAAGTACCCTACTGTGGGGACATGAGTTTTTTACCAAAGTCTCATGACTAAAGCCGGTGAGTCTAAAATCATGTTTCATTTGAAATGTCACTACTGGCTTCTTAACAGACACACGCTTTAAAATAAAGTAACAGAAACAGACACGTATTTAGGCCTTTCACTTTTATACTTCAGTTACAGATTCTCATCCCACTGGTGCTGCTCTAAGATAATGCCTTACTCCTTGCTAGCACAAGCACTGTAATTCATACATGCGTTGGTCATCAGCAGAAGTGAGACTTTCAAAAACGACGCAGTGTCTTAATTTCCACCTGCATGGAAATCACTCCAGCATATTTAACCATAGATCACAAACAACAGTGAACAAAAATATATCAAGTTCTCACTTTTGAAGGTGTGAGTACCGAACGTGCACATCTTTAGCCTGCATTATTCAAGCAGTTGCAAAATTCAAGCACCAAATGAAATCACTAGAACTCCTTTTTAATTTTCATTCTTTGCTAGAAACAGTTCCTCAATTAGTTATCAAGCCAAAATGAAGAGTTTTATGTGTGAAAACTAGTACTGCTTTAAGCTCTCTTAAAATACTGTTGAAATGTTACAGATTCCAGGTTAGAAATAGCTGGTAGAAGCTTTACATTGAATTCATTCCAGGAAAACAGAAGCAGAGACAGTGACGAGGAAATATTTTAGAGACTAGCATCAAAGAGAGCCTACCTTTAATCAAGGATGTGAACACGAATGCCCACAGACAGAAAGCAGGGTAACACCAACATAGCCACCTCTCAGGATGCATTGCTTGCAGCAGAATAGAGCTTCCTTTTGAGAAGAGAGGTTTGGGGGAAGAAACAGAAGGCAGGGAGACATACAAGCCCCCTGGACGGCAAGTAGGCGGTACAAAGATGGATTTCAGTTTTGCATTTGCAGCAAACTCTGCAGTCTGCTGAGCAGAGCAAAGACTTGCAGAGTTGCTTCCACTATCACCAGGCGAGGATTGCTTACGCTGTGCAGAGAGAAGGGAGCCAGGCAGCATCCTATCAGGTGACTTTTCGCGTTTCCAGTCACCCGCACCCTTGCCTCTGGGGGAATGTGTACGAGTGCAGGAGAAAGAGGGAAGGCAAGACACAGGGCAGCCAGCGTGGAGCAGGGGGAGGAATTCACTCAGCCTTCCACCCACTGATTCCAGAACACTCACCCAAAAGCAGCTGCTTTAGCTGTTGCCTGGTGCTCACCTGAGCCAGTCCCTCCAAATATGCAGAGATCAAACAACTTCAGTTTCTTGGCTGAGGACTAACTCTGCAGCAGGACAAATGGATGCTTTATATGGTTTTTACACTTCTACCAGAAACTGAACCTTGAAATAAGCATGGCATCATGTAAGAGTATTGCTTGACAGTATTCTGAGTGAGTAAATCTAAGGCAAGTAGATTTGTTATTGCCATCTGACAAGAACAACTAAGCATGCTAAGTTCTTTCCTACAGACAAGTCAGTTCGCAACATCAATTTTTCTATCTTCTTTTTTCGTGTGTGTGCAGTGATTCCTGCACCAGTATCCTGCTAGTGTGGAAACAGACCAGTACAATAAAGGAAAAACATCAGGTGCTGTTAGAGAAGAACCTAACAAGCCAAGTTCACTGGGAGAGAGTATTACTTTTAATCACAGAAGTTAAAAAAACGGAGATTATGATCCTGTAGAGATTAATGTGTGTTCACTCCTCAAGTGTTCAGTATGCATGTCCTTGCAACAGGAATTCCTGAATAGAATCCGTAGGCAAAAGGTCTGAGAAACTGAGGGCCTGGCTGAACTGCAGAGGGGTGGAAGGCACCACAGGTTACTGAGTGCCATCCAGCCTCCCAGAGAGCAGTTCGGACAGGGAATCTCCTTTATGTATGCTCAATCCAGCATGAACAAGTCTGAGTGAGTGGATGAATGATTTGATCAAAATAGAAATGCCGCTGATTTCCAGGCAGTTACATTGTTGTGTAAGCGTGGAGAGAAGAAGAAAGCCATGAATCCTTCATGCTGTAGAACACAGAGGCAATGCTGCAGCTCAAGATGAGAAAGTGATCGATCTTCTACACAAGTTGTTAAAACATGGGTAGAAGGGAAGAGGTCTGACTAGAAGAAAGATACTTAGGAGTGAGTTGCCTGCATAGAGAAGATATCTGAAGTGGACAAAGTTGCCCACAGCAAGTTTTGAGGGATGAAAAGGCAGTCTTGCAGGATTACTGACAGAAGCCCTACTCCAGAGCTCACTGGAGCCAGGGAGCCTTGAGTGGAGAGATGAGAAAACAAAAAAAAGCAAACCACAGGAGTTTTGGGGGGCTGAGAGTCATCTTGCGCTCTCAAAAGCGGCAGTAAACTAAACATGGTTATAAGTGTAGACCAGAAGGCATGGCTATGAGGCATCTCCAAGCTGAAATTACATATAAATTCTTCTTACAAATGATTTTAAGATGAAAATGTGGGTTTCAGCATAATGATTTTTCTTAAAAATTTCCATTTTACCAACATTTTACAAGGAAAAAAAGTAAAAACCACAAAAACCATTTTGCTTTGTGTCTGCTTTTCCCAAGTTGCAATGTTTGCTAGAATGATGTTAACAGTCCAGGTCCATCACCTTGCAGTTCCCTCACCTTATTCAATGAAGCTCATACTTCTCCTTGAATATACGCTGCCCATGGTGCACTGTGGCTAGCAGAATTACGCAGGCATGCAGCATCGCAGGATACCTGTGGCTGTCTGTAGTCATGGCATGTGCACTCCTGCTAAATTCCAGTGCTTGTAGAAAGATGACATATGATAACATAGTCAGATGCAATTTGAAAACAAACTGTCCCCAAGTTACAATGTTTTGACGTTTTCAACTTTTTTATTCTTCCACAAAACTGACAGCCAGGGAATTGGGTGTGAGAATTTAACATACCTGCAGGGGCGCATATGGGTTAAACTGAAAGGTCTTCGGAGGTGAGGATAATGAGTGCATTTCCCTTCCAGAGAGCTGGCAAGGTGATCCTTGAGGTCACACTTGAGGCAAAGAGCTGCTTTGTTATGGGGAGGAAGGGGCTGGGGAAGCAGGCTGAGTTAGGAGGCGATACCAATCATTCAGCGAGTGGATGGCAGGAAGGATTGTGCCGTGGCTGCCCTGCTGGTAGGACCCTGCCAGAGTGGGCGCTGCCTTTGCGAAAGGCTGAAGAGGAAGGCAGAGTTCGAACCGGGCCATGGCAAACAGCTGATGAGGCATCCAGATGGGAGAATCCAGAAAGAACAGCTGAGGAACTGCCTCAGCGACAAGGAAGCGTAGCAAAAAATTTGTGAATCATTGCCGCTAGGGAAGGTACCTAATTGAATCTAACATGAACTGGCCAAGGAAAGTGTCAATATGCCAGGCTTAAACAGCAAGCACATACTGACAGGCTTTCTGTCTTCCTTTGTCCTCCTCATGTGGAAGGAAGAGGCTGATTTATTCCCTTCATGTGTGGTTTTACTCTGCAGGGACATACTGACTCAGAGCAAAATCTCTGGCCTTCTTTCTTCAGTTGAGGTGGCTCAGGCAAAAGAGAACAAGCAGCTTGCACGGATGCACAAAATCTGCCCACTATAAAGGTTTCTAGCACATGGATGCACTTCACCCCTGGAGCTTGACGTAAGTTGACTGTGAAAAAAATATCAGGACCCATTTGGAAGGTTGCCTGTGTGCCTTGTAACTCAGGCTGAAGGCACATGCCCTTGTGCTACTGGCAATCCTAATGACAGATCCTGACCTCTGGAGCCAGGCCTAGGTTTGAATGGCTGATTTTTCCCCTCTAGAGCCAAGTAGTTTGCTGCTGGAGAGCCGTATCTGAATTGTTGGTAGGCTTTGACAATGCAATGGGTTCACCTGCAGTGGGGCTGTGACAAACACTTTTTTCCATGGTGAGCCACTCATGCTCTGACCACCTGCTGAAAAGCCACTGAACCCACTGTGGGAATTTGTTTCCCAGGCCTGTCAACTGCTTGCTATCATTAGGTAAGTGAGTTTGCACCCAGGGTCACCTGTTCCCCTTTTCATCACTGGTCCCCCCAGAAGCACTGCAGGGGGATGAGCCGCTTCTCACTGTTTTCTTGCTCAGGGCTACCTGTACCTTTGCTTGTTATGGCTGTGCTGAAATAGCAGTGAAGATGGCTGGGATCTTAGCAGCATTGCGTGTTGTATCTGCTCTGCTACTTACCACTTGTGCAAGCAGACAGTGGTTAAGGAAGCAATCAACTCAGCAGCAGCTCAGTCCTATCTGGATATTCACAGACAGCGCTTCCCTGGGCATGGGACACCTACTACTAATAAAAATTATGCCAGAGGAAGGAAACTGTAATGGGATAGTGAAAGTATCAATCAGATCCCACGATCTTACTGACAGTTCTGTAGTCAACCTTGGATAGCTTGTGCATTAGCTAAGTTAAGGTAAGGGGGGAACTTGGTAAAGCTCATAGACAGAGGGGAGATTTCTGAGAGTGGGAGACACTCTAATTGAGCAGCCAAATGAAGGACAAGCTCTAAAGGCTGGGACGTGAAGCTACATTGCGGGCTCTGAGCGATGAAGCTTGCAGAGGTTGTTGGGACTAGTGCTTTTTCTGTGCCTGTAGTGCATGGACAACTCAGCTGTTTGTGAACACAGACATTTTACCTTAAAGTAGTCTGTTCTGATTGATGGCAGTTGGAGACTCTCACCTTCCAGGGCTTTCAAGCTAAGCTGCCATCCCTTGTCAGGCATAACTCCAGCTGACAGTAGAAATAAAGCAGGCTTTTTAACCATTCAATGCATTGCAGACCTTGGGCAGGGAGACAGAGGCTATCTCTGGGACAACCCCCCAAGAGAAGTGCTCTACCTCAGTGAGCACTGGGCTCGAAGTGGAAATCACCAAGAGGCATTTTTCACACAAGTAGTTGGGCAAAATGGTCACAAAGATTTATGCACTCTGGAGGCAAAACTTCAGAATCTATTAATTGTGTCATCAGAGTCACCCTCACTAACAAGTGTTCATCTATTACTAAGGCAGAGAAAATCACTGCTCCCTAGGTTCTGCTTTCTGACATCATCCAGGAGGTGTTTTGTGTCAGCCGTTTTTCTTGGCTACTCCTGCTTTTTGGTTCTGAACTGTATTCCCCCAGCCCTAACCCCTCTCCCCCAGTTCAGTCGGCAAATGCTTGTCTGATGGGCTTTAGGTGTCAGTTCTGCCTCTCACCTTCCTCAACTTTAAGTCCTTTTAGTGTTCTCCTTCTCACACTATCCCTGTCGCTTCATCATGGCACTGCCCTAATCTCCTGTGTCATCCCTCAGTGATCCAGCCTCTGCCTGCCCCCTCGTACCCACTTTCTTGTCCTCCCTCTCCCCTTCACCTTGCAGCCGCCCACGTTGAAAACACTCCAATTACCACAAAGCCTTCCACTCCCAACCCACTGCTCTCCTCCAAACCTGTTTCCTTCTGTCTTTTTTTCTGCCCTCTCATTTTTTTTTCTCCTCACATCTCCATCTACCCATTGTCTCTTTTCCTCTTGCATCAAGACAAGCATCAAGAGGTGATGAGAGACAGGGGAGAGTGGTGAATTTTCTCCCCCTTCTCTTATTCCTTTTTTTCCTGTTACTTGTTCTTATTCTTTTTCCTCCCTTTACGCCTGCTGCAACCTCTGTCTTTCCAGTCCTCCCTCCTTTTCCTTTTTACCCTGATATCTGAGATGGCTTTGTCTCTCTCTCTGTTTGTGCTCCCCCTTCTCTTCCTCCGTTACTGTTTTGACCTCTGAAGCCTGCTCCACCTG